AAATTGTCTCTACTTTCTTCCTTTTATCAATATTTTTAAATAGCGTTGTCTCGTAGGTCGTAATCGACTCGGATGATTTTATTACCACCGTCCTGAACAGGTTCCATCAGCTCCAAAGATCAAAAGATCTTAGCCCATTACGAAAAAACGCGATAATGAGGTGAGAAAAATTTCTATTAGCCCTTTAACTAGAAATTCATGAATCATTAAATAGAAATAAAAGCTTAATTAATATATCAAACAGTCCTATCTCTCTTTTTTGTCATTTCTTCTGTTTTGTTTTTTACAATCTTATATTATATTTTTGTGTGTATGTTTATAAATTTTGTATTATAAATTTATCACAGTGCTTAATCAATTTAGATCTTTAATATATAAAGAAGAAAAGAAAAAAAAACTTTATTTCCTTTGAAATCCTTCTAAATTATAGATTATTATACTTTTAGGAATCACTACCCTTACTCCGTGCATGCCTATTACGAATCCTCCACAAACACCATCGGTAAGTACTATTATACATATGCAAGCAAAACTGACATCGAGCAATTTGAATAAATTAAGTTATTCTTGTTAAAAACGATAGAAATCCCATTGGCGATGATGACATCCTGGGCATGGTCGTGGGACGGTGGGCCAGCTTTTGCGGTACACGCTACATTAGGATCGGTCATCGCCCACGAGATTCTTCATGCTTTCGATTTTCACCGCCGTAAACTGCCCATGGAGTTGGATCAGAACATTGACGAGTGGCTTCACGTCACGGCAGATTCCTGGAAACGATTGGAGACCAAGATAGAATGCGTCGCGCGACTTTACGCCAGGAGCTTTTGGCGGAAGGTTCAGTCGTATGGGAACGACGTTGCTGTAGAAGTAAGTTCGAGATGAACTTTGAGATGAAACTTAAGACACCAGTGAGAAATGATTGAAATTATTAATTCGATGTCGAATCGATATCGCTGAGAATGCTTATGAATCTCTCGAATTAATGAGAGCAGGAACATTTCTCTTTTTTCACTCTTAATTTTGTCGCACAGTTTGATTGGAACATGACAAAAAACGAGAATGTCGCGGATATTGGTGCTCTGCAAATTGCCCACAAGACTTGGCACATTTTGACAAATGGGAAGGATCGGAGCCTTCCCAGATTGGAGGGACTTCGACCGAGTCAGCTTTTCTTCATAAGTGCCGCACAGGTAACTCCCTTTCTTTCCTTCAAATATTTCTTTTTCGATTTTCTCATTATTCTATAATTTTGCAACTAATCTCATATAAAAATCATTACATACACATACAGTGCACAGTCTTTAATTAATAAAAAAAGTATAAAAGTCAATGCTACTTTGGTGAAAATTTTTCTCAGAATTTTTCATATAATTTTTCAAAATTTCTCTATTTCATAATTTCATAACTTTCTCAAATTTTTTATACGAATTTATTGGAACATTTCTCAGAAAATTTACATCATTTTTCAGAGTTTTTCATATATATTAATTATGAAATATCGTAAGATTTTGTAAGTATAATTTCTGATGAAATGTTATTAAATTAAAAAAATTTTTAAATACTTTTTAAAAATTATGGGATAAAAATTTCAGAATTGGGGCGTCGAGTTACTCGCCTCAGTGCGATTGACTTGTGATCTGTGGATCCGAGTTTGATCTCATCTGCGCGACCTGCGAAATATATGCGATTCTTTGCGTTCGCTGTTCGGATTCGACGTTAAACTGTAGGTCCTCTTGATTGACAAATTCTAAGGAGTAAAAATGCAAACTACATAAGCAAACTACAAATGCAAAAACATAAGCGAGCCTCTATTTCCCGAAGAGCCTCTCTAAAGCTAAATTTGATACTGCAGTGACCCAATAATGAGGAAAATAGGGGAATGTACAAAGACAATATTTCAGAATTCACTTGTATGAAAAATTCTGAGGAAAGGTGTAAACTTTCTAAGTATTTCTGAAAAATGTTCCAATTCGTATAAAAATTACTTTTTAATTTAATAGAATTTACCTTGATTAAGACTGTAGCATCTGAGTTTTAGTTTTTTATTTGATACATTAGTTTTTTTCGAGGAGTACAATAATTTTTGACAAAGAATTAAAGTTGCTATTACTTGGGTTAGAATAAAAAGATCTTCAATAAAGAATATCTTTGAAGAAAAACTATTATTAGTTTTAATTGGATATTTAAGTTTATTATTATTTACATGTATAATATATAATATATGTGTAATATTTCTATTTATTATATTTCTATTTATTTTTATTCTTTACATTAATAAAATTTATTATATCACTAAGTATACTTTTGTCGACGTGATAAAAGAATTAATGTATTCAAAGATAATTAAGAGATTATCCATTATCTTTTTGTTTTCTTTTTATATTAACTTCGTGTTAAAGTAATGTATTGTATTGATATCATTATGTTTTTAGGTATATTGTGTTAATACAACTCTCGAGGCCTATGTCTTCTCCGTTGAATTCGACTATCATGCTTCTCATCGTGAAAGGTACTGACATTTTTCTGAATTGTGCAAAATTTCACTCAATCATAATAAAGTATAGTGATTGATTACACGCATGATGATTGATTTCCAGAGTCAACAGTGTAATGATGAATTCTCAGGCATTCGTAGAAGCATTTCGCTGTCCACTCGGAACAAAAATGAATCCTCCGAATAAATGCACTGTTTGGTGATAGTAACACGTTGATCGATATACGAAATATATATCGATTGTATAGCAGGCTGTTCTTATATATATATACTTCGCTTTATTTTATTTCACAATTACAATATTGTAAGATCACTTCGGGATCACATTTCGCAGCAAGAATTAATGCTACAGGGATAGACATTTGCCCCTCTTTATGAAAACTAGACTATAATAACACTTAATTCATAAAAATCTTGCAATTGCAATATAATGCAGTTTAATATTACAATTTTCTTTTCTTTGAAAAAAGTATCAGCTTAATTCTAGAATTATTAGATAATTCTTATTGATCTTACACTTGAAAAATTCCCTTCTTGAATTCTTGCCTTATAAATTAGATTTAAGATAAAAAAAAATAAAGTGTGTTCTGGCACTCGTTCGTTTTTTGAGGCTGTGGAGAAAAATATAGTACAAGTAAATTCTAAAATAAAATAAAATAAAATATATTGTTATTGATTTAATTCACAACAATATTAATAAAAATTATTTTTGAAAAGATAAAAAATTGAAATAATTAAAAAATTATATTATTCAGTGGGCTTAAGTTTTATCTTAAAAGTGTGATGTTAACTGTTAATGGATTAAGCCCCTTTTGGGTTTTCAAAATTGCTAATAAGCTTCAGAATATAAATCTGTTCAAAGATAATCGTTGCTTTTTTATTAGGATAAGAAAGAAATGCGTGGTACATAGCTTTTTATTTTTTGTAGTTCCTGTAAAATTGATAAAAAAAATTATTAAAATTAGATTTTAAAAAATTGTTATCCGCCCGTGAATGCTGTGAAAAAATTTGTTAATGACATAACAAATTGTAGCCAATTGTGTCGATTTGAAGCGACTATAGTGATGACTTGTGAGGTATTGCAATTACAACGAATTATAAGATCTATACTAATTTATATTTATAATAAATTATAACGAATTGTAATAAGTAAAATAAAGAGCGCATAAACAAATAGATCAATGATCTACGATAATGACGTTAGCAACAAAAATTGGATTTACATATAATAAGCAACTATACGTAATGCAATAAATTATTAATAGTAATACGATATGTTGCTCGATTGCTATTAATAAAATATTAACAAAATATTACATATTGTTGTTATGGTGCTGGAAAATATAATATATAAAAATAACATATGTGATAGGAATAAAATCTGTGATATATGTATATCAAATATCTTTGAATTTCTGGCAAATTCATTTTTGTTGGTAATGCCATCGATATAGCAAAAATAAGTTTATACGTTGAAAATATCTTTAGGCACTCTATATTTTGGTTGAATGAAACTGCAGAGAGGAAATATGTCATATATGATTGTTCGCTCTTGAATTGTTCATGTTTGTCGCAAAAAGTAAAACAGTTTGTACTAGATCTATTAAACGTGTTTTAACTGAAAACATTTGATTGATGAGATGATATTCCATTCCATAATCTTTTAATTTTTTTTTCTTAAATAAGACAGTAAATTTTAATAAAATAAGTACCTATACTTAATAATAAGTAAAGAATAGGCAAACAATGTATTTGTTATTTAATTTAGAAATTCGATTCTTATATATTACTTCTATGTATTCAAATATAAATATGTATATTTTAACCGTTCGGAATTTTTAAGATAATATCGTATAAAAACAAAATACGAAAACAAAAATTATCACAATAAATTATCACAAAAATTAAAGAATTGCATAAGAAAATGAGTATTTTGTGTTACTAAAAAATTAATAACAAGAGATTAACACATTATATAAATGTTGATTTGCTTTATAATAACAATAATTGCAACAATTATAATATACAGCTATATATTCAGTTAGTGCCCTGTTAAAATGCAGAATAATTATGCTTAATATTATACTTAATTACACATTTAATGTTAGAATGCTTACATTTAATGTCAAAATACAGGCCATTTGTTATATAGACTTATTTTGTACTACATAAATAAATTGTACTATAAATAAATGAAAACTTAAAATATTACATTACAATAGTGCAATTATATGGCACAATGTTAAAAAAAATTAAAATATGTATTAAATTTAACAGATAAAAATAAATAAAAAATTAACACATAAAAATGTCACATAAAAATATAAAAAATATAATATAAAAAAATATCACACAAAAAATTTAACACATACAACATAAAAAAATTAATACATGTGAGTCAAATATCACATACTATTAATGTTAATACTGATGTTAATATGTTGATTTATGCCAAACTATTTGATATTCATCTTTGCATTTTGTTATAGTATTGCAAATTCGTTTAAAGATTGTCATAATCAACATTTCTTGTTTTTACAGCTTCTACGAATTTTGCAAATTTTTCATACGAGCCTCTATGTTTTAGAACGAATGACTGATCTTTCATTCCATCTACCCATTCCATCTGAAACAAAATGCAAAATGGACGCAATGAATCAATAATTATTTTTCTTGAATATGAATGATAAGAAAATCCACTACAAATTCAAATACAACTTCTGTAGATAAACAAGAAAATATTATATTTAATATTTTCATTCTTATTATTTTCATTTTGTTATAAATATACAGTGTTAATAAATTTAAATGAGTGTTGAGAAAAAATTACTAAATGAATAAATCTTCAAAATTTTCATAACTGAGTTGACAAATTTGAAAATACTGTTACTGGATGTACTATTTTTTTGCTTACAATACGAGGAAATCTCTCCTTGTCAAGACTTGCACGCTGTTTGTAAAGTATAGTCAGAGCTTTTGCACGCTCAAACCAAGGCCATATTAGAACGTCTAACATATTTGGATTACTCCCTAAAACAAAAGATAATTCTTATAACAATAAAGATTATATTTGCTTATTATTCAGTCAATAAGTGATTATGACTTATTAATAATATTAATAATATTAATAATATTAATAAGATATATAAAAAGAGAAAAAGAAAATATACAATGGATTTGTACAAACCTCCGAAAAAGGTTGTCTTGCGTACATTAAGCTCGTCTTCAAATTCTTGTAAATCATCCGTTACCTCAGTGAGAATTTCTTCAAACTGTCTCTTGTCTTTGCCAAATATGCAATTTGCAAAAGTATCCATAATCTGTAAAGAATACGCAATTATTAAAACATTATATCCAGGACAGATCTCAACGTCATTACAAATACCTTAGAGAAATGATCTAACAACTCTAAATCACGACTCTTTGTCTCGTCGTTGTATAGAGGAGGTTCAGGGTACTTCTCATCTATATAGTTTGCCACTGCGACAGAATCTGTTATTATTGTACCATCTGAATCTATGTAAATTGGTACTTTGCCATCCGGATGAATCTAAAAAAATATTTTCGTACATAAGAATACATCCAAACTTGTCGACACTTGTCATTCCTTCAAAAATTCGTTAAATTCGGATCACATTGAGTTATCTCTGTGAAAATAATTCGATGCATACTTCAAGAAACCACTGCGGTTTGCTCTGCAAATTGATATTGACAATGTCGTGTGGGACCTGCTTCAGACTCAGCACGAGACGTATTCTATGAGCGAAGGGACAATACACCATGCTATAGAGCCGCGCCTGACCTTCCACTTCCGCTGGCTTCTCGGAACCTAAAACAAAAATTCAATTTTCTCTTCAGAAAAAACTAAACATAATGCGAGTCTCTAACAATGACTAAACGATACACATGATTTTGATCATGTACTATCGAGTTTCTATAAACATATACCATTGTAAAGGAATTTCCTTTCAGTAAAGATTCGACTGTCACATTACTTACCATCTGCCAGATGTAAGGAACTCATTTGAATAATCCGTTCACAGATGAACGGTCTTGTATGTGGATTGTTAAGGTGACTGTGGCGTGGATTATCCTCAATGACAGGGAATGACAAGTGTTGAAAGTTTTATTGGACGATAACGTCTCACCTGGCGCCATCTCCCACGCCCACACATACAGGTGTATAGGATGTCGGTGATTATTGATAAAAAAGACAATATGTGGATAATATAAAATTTATTTTCTTACTCGGGTACATATTTGAGATATCACAATCCAAAAAATTCATTTTTGTAAAAAACTAAAATCTATAAACTGAAATAATAAACCTAAAATATGCTATCAATCTTTTAATATAAGTTTAATTTATTTTAATTTTTCTAGTTGATTGAATCCCAATCCAATCTCATTTTCAAGTCATTGTATATGCATACTACTCTAAGTATAAAAGTGAAATGCAAATATCTCGAATGATAAAGCATCTAATATATATTTTGCAAAACAGCATAAAATGTATTGAAGACTGTGTGGTTTATTTATACATTTACTATAAATATATTCATATATTATATATATTCATATATTTGTATTTGATTCTATTGAAATATAAAAACTTAATAAAATGTTATCAACATATTATTTTGATGTAAACTTATTTATAGAAACAAGTTAACTTCAAATCACGTTAAATATTATCATAATCAACATTGTTCGCTCTTCGAGCTTCTAAGAATTTTGCTAATTTTTTATACGAGCTCCTGTATTTTAGAACAAACGGTTGGATTTTCATTCCCTCTACCCATTTCACCTGAAAGAAAATAGACGAAGATTAATAAATTATTAATTTTTTTGAATGTAAATAATAAAATCCATTGCAAACTCAAATATAATATTACGTGCTACATATAAATATAAAATAAAAGAGAATTATTTTTACAAATGATATTTATACAATGTTAAACATTACACACACACACACGCGCGCGCGC